CGCACGCACGCCCGCACGCCCGCACGCCCGCACGCCCGCACGCACGCACGCATGCACGCACGCACCCACACACACACACACACACACACACACACACACACACACACACACACACACACACACACACACACACACACACACACACACACACCCACGCACGCACGCACGCACGCACGCACGCACGCACGCACGCACGCACGCACGCAAGCACGAACGCACGCACGCACGCACGCACGCACGCACGCACGCACGCACGCACGCACGCACGCACGCACGCACGCACGCACGCACGCACGCACGCACGCACGCACGCACGCACGCACGCACGCACGCACGCACGCACGCAAGCACGCACGCACGCACGCACGCACGCACGCACGCACGCACGCACGCACGCACGCACGCACGCACGCACGCACGCACGCACGCACGCACGCACGCACGCACGCACGCACGCACGCACGCACGCACGCACGCACGCACGCACGCAAGCACGCACGCACGCACGCACGCACGCACGCACGCACGCACGCACGCACGCACGCACGCACGCACGCACGCACGCACGCACGCACGCACGCACGCACGCACGCACGCACGCACGCACGCACGCACGCACGCACGCACGCACGCCCGCACGCACGCACGCCCGCACGCACGCACGCACGCACGCACGCACGCACGCACGCACGCACGCACGCACGCACGCACGCACGCACGCACGCACGCACGCACGCACGCACGCACGCACGCACGCACGCACGCACGCACGCACGCACGCACGCACGCACGAACGCACGCACGCACACACGCACGCACGCAGCACGCACGCACGCACGCACGCACGCACGCAGCACGCACGCACCGCACGACGCAAGCACGCACGCAGCACGCACGCACGCACGAACGCACGCACGCACCGCACGCCACGCACGCACGCACGCCGCACGCAGCACGCACGCCACGCACGCACGCACGCAACCACAACAAACACAACACACCCAAACACCACACACACACACAAACACACAACACACAGACACACACACACACACACACACCACACACACACACACACACACACACACCACACACCACACACTACACACACCACACACACACACAACGCACACACGCACCCACACACACACACACACACACACACACACACACACACACACACACACACACACACACACGAGACGGAGCCTTTTGCACCTAAGCCTACTTGCAGGTTCCTGGGTAGCTCTAAGTAGGGTCAGAAGTAGGTTAACTACACTTATTGCCCCATCGAGGGCACTTGCAGCACAGCCCTACTCAAACTTATACCCACGAATCTCCAAGTAAACCCTAAACCCTAAGCCCTAAGCAAGCCCTTAGCCCTAAGCCCTAAACCCAATTCCCTAAATTCTAAACAGCCCCTAAGCCCGCAAAGGCACTGGCACCTCCTTTGCCGCCAAGCGCTCCGACGGCAGGGTGGTGACTTGGGGCCGCGCCGGCTTGTGTTAACGCACGGTTTGGGGTTTTAGGGCTAGGTAGGGTTCAGGGTTTAGGGTTTGGGGTTTAGGGTTTGCTGTGACAGGGCGCAGGTGCTGTGAAGGTTAGGTTTCGGAACAAGCTCGGAAGCTTCGTGAGGTGCGAAGAGCAGCTTTGGGCCGATTGTGGAGCGCCATCTAACACTTTTCTCCCACCCCGCCGTCCGAGGCGGCAAAGCCGCCCAAACCTATTCCTTTTAGAGTTTGGGCCGAAACTCAAGGCAACAGTCCACTTCTAAAAAACTTATTCAGTTTCAAGAATTCGGGGTTGGGTCCGAGGGTCAAAGGGTAGGGGCTCGGGGCGTCCCAGAGAGTTTCAAGGAGATTCAGGCGAGGGAGTGAGGGTGGAGGCCAGGCGTCAGGGGGCCAGGGCAGGGGCCAGAAATTCCGAACAGCAGAGCCACCCTGAAGCTGCGGCGAGGGGTCCGGAAGGGGGGCGGCCTAGGCCCTGAGTTTAGGGTTTAGGGTTTGGGGTTTAGGGTTTAGGGTTTAGGGTTTAGGGTTAGGGTTCAGGGCTAGTTAGGGTGTAGTGTTTAGGGTTTAGGGTATCAGGCTACCGGGGGCACCAGGCAGCTGAGAACCGTCAACGTAAACCCCCGAAACCTTAAATCCTAACGCTAAGCCCTTTGCGAGTTTAGGGTTTTAAGGTTGAGGGTTTAGGGGTTCTAAGCCCTAAACTCCTAAAGTCTGTACAAGGGTTAAGGGTTAAGGGTCAGTATACACCCAAAGCCCCGAAGCCCTAAGCGTTATTTGTGCTTTTTGACTCCAAACTGTTGGTTTCAGGTTTCAGGGGTTTGGGCTTATCGAATATATGGGTTGAGGGTTGAGGGTTCGCAATTTAGGGTTGGGGGTTCCCTAAGCCCTTAACCCTAAACCCTAAAACCTAACTAAACCCTAAACCCTAAGAAGGGTCGAAGCTTCTCGGGGTTGAAGCTTCACGGGTTTGAGGGTTTGGGCTTAGGGTTAGAAGGTATTGTGGGTGGTGCGGTTCCAGACCCTGCTTAGTTCCCGCCCCCTCCCGCCCCCGGCCCTTCTTTGCCTTTGGGTTTCTACACTAGTTTTATAAGGGTTTTGTGAACCTGAGCCTTAAAGCCTAAACCCTAAACCCTAGGAACACTGCCTGGGCCGGAAGACTCAGGCAACACATTCGCACTGCGAACCATGAAGGTAATTAAGAAATGTAGGGTCAGGGCTTAGGGTTTAGGGTTTAGGGTTCAGGGTTCAGGGTTCAGGGTTCAGGGTTCATTAGGGTTTAGGGTTTAGGGTTTAGGGTTTAGGGTTTAGGGTTTAGGGTTTAGGGTTTAGTGTTTAGGGTTTAGGGTTCATGGTTTAGGAATAGACCGTAAACTATAAAGGGATCCTTAGTATGACTTAAGGTATATTCCTTAGTTAAGGGGTATTGGGCCCTTCGGGCTTAAGCTAGAGGAGAGCGACCCTGCGAGGAGAGGCCCTCTGGTTGTATATAAGTAGAAAGATTATAAGGGGTTTCGGGTGTAGGGTTTAGGGTTCATGACTTGGGCAAGACTTTCTGTCGACCACTAGCTGAGGAGCCCTCAAGGCTAAACCCTAGACCGCCCTGAAAACCTCCAAAACAGTCTCAGGAGCCAACTTGGGGTGGCGGCATCTTGGTTTGCCTTTGCCCAGGCCAAGGAGGAGTGCGTGGCTTCTGAGCAGGCTGAGAAGATGCGAGAGGGGTGGAGCAAGCTCCGGCGGAACCTGCCTTTGTCCTTCAAAGTTTTCGCCAGCGAGGATGCCAGGTTCTCAGCAGCGACAGAACTCCTTGACGGCACCGAACACGAGGGAGTTCTTCGGTCTCGACACGACCCGCCTCGTCGCTGTGGTGCTGAAAGCCTTGGACCCGAACACCCTGAAGCCCTTGACCCTAAACCCTGAACCCTGAACCCTACACCCTAAACCCTAAACCCTCAACCCTACACCATAAATCCTGACCCGAACGCCATGGTCAGGCTTCAGTGAGTACGGTGGAAACAGCCAAGCCATCGAAGCAAAGTTGGTCCAGGCACTTGCTTAGGGTTTAGGGTTTAGGGTTTAGGGTTTAGGGTTTAGGGTTTAGGGTTTAGGGTTTAGGGTTTAGGGTTTAGGGTTTAGGGTTTAGCGGGGCTTTCAGTGTTCAAGAGTGAGGGCTGCTGGGGTGGTACGGTTGCAGGCTTTCGGATGTTTAGGCCTTAGTATAGGCCTTGAGTCATTGAGGGTGTTGGGATTGTTCGGGGGGGTGGTTTCCTTCAACCCTAAACCCTAAACCCTAAACCCTAAACCCCAAGCTCTAACCCTTAACCCATCTTCTGGAGCTTCAGCATTTTGGGGCCTGGGGTTCCAAGTTCAAGGGCTCCCCCCAAAATTGAGTCGTGAGCCATTACTATACTTGCTGTACTAGACTTGCAACCAAACCTCCAACCAAGTATTCTCTTGAACCTTACGCTCAAGCCGAAACTAGGACCCAGAGCAGGCCCATGTTCCCTTTTTCGGGAGTTTGGGTTGCCTTATAAGTCACTTTAAACCAAAAAGTGCACGCTTTTATTCCGAGGTTCTCCTGGGTCACCCTAAACCCTAAACCCTATACCCGAAACCCTAAACCCTAAACCCGAAACCCTAAACCCTAAACCCTAAACCCTTCTGACGTGGAAAGGTCTCTCAAATCGAGGGCTCAACCGGTGCCTTCGCAGCTCTCCGCCGGAGCCCCAGGCTCCTGCCTCCTCCTTGGAGGTATATCAGTAGGGGAATATGGAGGTTTAGGGTTTAGGGTTTAGGGTTTCGGGTTGAGGGTTTAGGGTTTAGGGTTTAGGGTTTAGGCTTTAGGGCTTTAGGGCTTTAGGGCTTTAGGGCTTTAGGGTTTGGGCTTTAGTGCTTTAGGGTTGAGGGTTTGGGGTTTAGGGTTTGGGGTTTAGGGTTTAGGGCTGGAGGTTTACTTGGAGGGTCATGGGTAGTTCTAAGGAGGGTTGTAAAATAGGGTTCTAAGTATGATTCCCATAATGAAAAACCTTCTTAAAGCTGCCCATGAACCTCAAAGTATTGGTAGATAGAAGTAGGGGTAGAAGTATGGTATCTACACTTATGACCCCACTGGGGGTACCTTATAGCCCTGGTTATACCTGCTCATGAACCTCCATGTAAAGGGTTTTTTGGTCTTCAGCATCTTGGTTCTGGGCTAGAGACTCCAAGGCCTGGTGCTTCGGCCACTGGTAGTATCCCAGCCCCAAAGACCGCACGCTCAAACAACCCCAAAGCCTCATGGGTTCCCCTACTATAAGCCCCTCTATGCTGGCCCCCCCTAGGTTCCGGCCTTGAATTTTACCCAACCTTAAACCCTAAACCCTCAACCCTGAACACTAAACCCTAAACCCTTAGCCCTAAAACCCTAAACCTTAAACTCTAAACGGGAGCCTCCCAAACCCTAAACCCCAGACCCTAAACCCCAAACTCGCAAACCCTAAACCCTAAATCCTAAACCCTAAACCCTAAACCCTAAACCTTAAACCCTAGGAGACAGTTGCGTTAACTTCAAGATCGCTTTAAGATGTGCGTCTTTGATCTTTTCGGGGCTGCCCCTCAGCTTCAGAGCTCTTAGTCGTGCCTCCCAGGGTTTAGGATTCAGATAGGGTTTAGGGTTTAGGGTTTAGGGTTTAGGGTTTAGGGTTCAGGGTTCAGGCTTCAGGCTTCAGGCTTCAGGGTTCAGGGTTCAGGGTTTCCGAAATTAAGGTTGCCTTAGTGGGTCCTTATTAGTAGAGAATCCTACTATATGGGGGGGGGGGGGGTGTATAATTGGGGGTCCCTTACTTTCGCAAACCCCCATATCCGAACATAGGGGCGCCCTTTTTGGGGTCCCTTTAATAGGATTCTCTTCTATTTGGATAAAAGGGGTACCCCTATTTTGGGAAGTACCCAGATTAGAGGGATGGAACGTACCCAATTTCCTGCGAAAGAACCTGTAGGTACTTCTAGGCCCATGTCAGGTGAGCAGCATCCCCCATATATCCTCCACAAAACCTTTCGTGGTTTAGGGTTTAGGCCTTTTTTCTGCCCTAAACCCAAAACCCAGAACCTCATAAGGTTGTACCCTTGGGTTTAGGTTTACCCTCTTTAAGGATCCTCAAGAAAGTATAAGGGGCCAAATTAGTTGCAGATTAAGAGCATCCTCTAGGGTTGCATCACTCGGGGTGCGAGCCTTAATCCCTTGAAAAACCCTAAGCCCTTCCATTGCCCCTTGTAGGAGCCTCTTACAAAGATGTCACTGAATGAACCGTAGGGGGTGCTTAGTAGGGCTTTCGGGCTTCTAGGGACTAGGGCCCCTGCATAACTCCTCAAAGATATATGAAAGGGATATGATGGGACTGAATTCCTTAGTTCCCGGTTACGGAGCTTAGTAATTCAAGGGCAGCCTCTTAAGCTCTATATGGAGCTTTGGCCAGTCCATGGAACCCCAAACCCCTATGCCTATATCCTACAAACCCTATGCACCCTGAAAACCCTACAACAACTATCATCCCTGCAAGGCCCGAAAAGCCTCTACAAGCCTAAATGTTCTACAGCCCTGAACCCTATGCCCCATAAACCTTAATGTGCCTTCTTATACCCTCTCAGAAGCCCTAAACCCTAAACCCTAAACCCTAAACCCTAAACCCTAAACCCTAAACCCTAAACCCTAAACCCTAAACCCTAAACCCTAAACCCTAAACCCTAAACCCTAAACCCTAAACCCTAAACCTTAAACCCTAAACCCTAAACCCTAAACCCTAAACCCTAAACCCTAAACCCTGAACCCTGAACCCTGAACCCTGAACCCTGAACCCTGAACCCTGAACCCTAAACCCTAAACCCTAAACCCTAAACCCTAAACCCTACCCTAAACACCCTCAAAGCCCATTCCAGGTCTTGACGGCACCGTTGTCTGCTGGGGAGATCCCCTGTGTGGTGGCGACTGTAGCCAGGTCCACTGACTCCCCAAACAGAGTTTGGGGGGGTTTAGGGTTTCGGGTTTCGGGTTTAGGGGTCTAGAGTCTAGGGTTTGGGGTTGAGGGTTTAGGGGTCTAGGGTCTGGGCTCTAGAGTCTGGGGTTAAGGGTCTGGGGTTAAGGGTTGAGGGCTCAGGGGTCTGGGGTTAGGGTTGCAGTTTTAGGGGTCCCTGAGGTTTTTGTTGGGGTTTAGGGTTTGGGGTTTAGAGTTTAGGGTTTCGGTTTGGGGTTTATAGGGTTTCGGATTGTTGAGGATGTAGGGTGCAGGGTTTAGGGTTGAGGATGTAGGGTGTACTTGAAGGTTCATGGTACTTACTAACCAATTATAACTGTACTTATAACCCTACTCATAATTGGGATAACCCCTATAAGGCCCTTTAGGGCTATTACAAGTAGGGCTATCAGAACAGTTCTAACTGGTTAGTAAGTACCATGAACCTCCAAGTAGGGTTTTACGGTTTGCGGAGCAGGGTTCAGGTTTAGGGTTTAGGGTTTAGGGTTTAGGGTTTAGGGTTTAGGGTTTAGGGTTTAGGGTTTAGGGTTTAGGGTTTAGGGTCGAGGGTCGAGGGTCGAGCCGACGGAAGGTGCAGAACCAACTCGTCGAAGTGACCTCCATCACGGCATCCTATGGCAACCCGGCAGCACTGTTGGGGACGTAGCGTTTAGGGTTTAGGGTTTGGGGTTTGGGGTTTAGGGTTTAGGGTTTAGGGTTTAGGGCTTAGGCGTCGAAACTGCGATTGCCCAAGTCCTAACCCTTAAGCCAAACAACAAGTAAACCGTAAACCTTGACTCCTAGACTAAGTACCGGCATTCGATCCTTTTTTTGGGGGCCTCTGTCGGGATAACTCATTGAGTATGGGGGTCTGCAGTGGCACTGGGCACTGAGCCTTTAACCTCTACTTACCGACAGCCGAGTAGCTGTCACCCCCGCTGTGGTTATGTAGGTACGATGCCCGGTAGTACTCTTGTTCCCCTTCTTTTCGGGGGAGAGTAGGCCCTTATTCCATTTTGTCGGGGGGTTAGGTGGTGAAGGGTTTAGGGTTTAGGGTCTAGGCCCTCAAAACCCTAAAGTCCAAAGCAGCCCCGTGACCGAAGGCGCTTTCGCGGCCATCAAGGCAAACGGACAGGCGGATCTTCCAAGTCCCAGGGTTTTAGGGAAGGTCATAAGCCTACTGGCTCTTAGATAGTAGAAAGTCAGGAAAGAGAGGGAATGAGGTACCCGATATAATCCCTTAATGGTCAAATGCGGGGATATTAGGTGCCTAATTCCCTCATTCCCTACTAGGTAGCCGGTAAGATGCCGGCTTCAGGGTTTTGGTCTTGGGGGGGGCCTGGGCTCCGAGAAAGTCTGGCCCATAAGGAACTGAAGCAGCTGATTCTTGTTCTGGGTTGCCCTAAACCCTAAACCCGAAACCCTAAACCCTAAACCCTAAACCCTAAACCCTAAACCCGAAACCCTAAACCCTAAACCCTAAACCCGAAACCCTAAACCCTAAACCCTAAATCTATATGCTTTGGGGTGTCTTAGGGGGCCATCCTGGGGAGGCTCTTAGGGGGGCCATCCTGGGGAGGCTACTTGGAGGTTCATGGGACTTAATTAATAACCACCTTATAACTGGGCTTCAAGTCTAGTAGCTTCATACTTCGAACCCCGCGTCTAACTAACCCATGAACCTCCAAGTATGACTCTGGGAAAGGTGGAAACGTCCACGTAGTGTAGAACAACCTTAAACCCTGAAGCCAAACCCCAACTTTGAAGCAAAAATTCGTGGGGCCTTGGTCCCTCCTTACGCCCCAGACCCTAAACTCAGTCAGTAGGTTCAGATGCCCCACGTTTGGCAGGGCCTGAGACGCTGAAATCCGGAAAGTTTAGGGTTGAGGGTTGAGGCTTTTTAGGGTCAACTTCTCTTAATTCTCGGGCCCCGTTTTTTCATCGCAAGCAATCAGGTATTATATCCTGCACAGGGATTCTATTTCCCCAGTTCCCTGCTAGAATCTGTAAGTTCTCCCCTAAATCCTAACTCCTAAATCCTAAACCCTAACTCCTAAATCCTAAACCCTAAATCCTAAATCCTAACTCCTAAATCCTACATCCTAACTCCTAAACCCTAAATCCTAACTCCTAAATCCGAAATCCTAAATCCTAGGCCAGTTTTTGGAGACTGAACCCCTGAACCCTGAACGTACAAGTTTTTCCGGTTAGGGCTTCGGCTTGAGGTTACAGGGCTCCCCTAGGCCGACGCAAAGGCCCTAAACCCGAAACCCCGAAACCCCTAAACCCCTAAACCCCTAAACCCCTAAACCCCTAAACCCCTAAACCCCTAAACCCCTAAACCCCTAAACCCCTAAACCCCTAAACCCCTAAATCCCTAACCCCGAAACCCTACATCCCTAAACCCAAAGACCCCTAAGCCCCTCAACTTCAACACCCAAAACTACCCTAAGCCCTAAAGCTTGAACAAACCCTAAATATTCTAAACCAAAATCCGCAAGCCCTAAACCCTTCATCCCAAAACTACCCTAAGCCCTAAACCTTGAAGCTTGAATAAACCCTAAATCCCTAAACCAAAATTCCTTAACCCTTAACCCCAAAACTACCCTAAGCACTAAACCTTGAACCTCGAAGAAACCCTAAATCCCTAAACCAAGCCCTAAACCCTTAACCCCAAAACTACCCCAAGCCCTAAACCCTAAACCTTGAACCTCGAATAAACCCTCAATCCCTAAACCAAGCCCTAAACCCTCAACCCCACAACTGCCCCAAGCCCTAAAAACTCCAAACCTTGAGAACCTTAAATCGCTTGCATCGCTGGTCGAGGTCATCACCTGGGGCGGCGACCACTTCGGCGGCGACAGCTCGCACGTCAAAGACCACCTCCTGGATGCATCTTGGTCAGTTTGGGGTTTAGGATCTGGGGTTTACGGTTTGGGATTTAGGGTTTGGGGGTTTAGGGTTTGAGGTTCAGGGTGTTCAGGGTTTGGGGTTTAGGGTTTGGGGTTTAAGGGTTAGGGGCTTAGGGATCTCTGGGGTTCAGAGGGTTGAGGGCCCAGTGTTTGGTGCAACGTCGCTGACTGCGGCATACTGCTGGAAGACATCGAAGAGGTCCCGGCCTCCAATCCTTAAACCGCCACTTAGAGGTTCATGGGTAGTTATAAGTAGAGCTATAAGCATGGAAACTACACATATATCCCTACTTATAACCACCCATGAACCTCCAAGTACCCTTTGGTCAGAGGTCTGTGAGATTTCGGGCTTCTAAGACACGAAAGGGTACCCCTTCTAATCAGAGGCTCAACCTTAACCCTAATCCCTCATCCCGGAACCCTTAACCCTAAACCCTAAACCCTAAACCCTAAACTCCATCAGGTGAACAGCGTCAAGGGCGAGCCTGGCAAGAACTACGGCGGTGCGACCTGGCTGAACCGAAGTTGCTGCCCCTACCCTAAACCCCAAACCCTAAACCCTAAACCGGAAACCCTACAAACCCTATAAACCCTAAAGCCCTAAAGGCCCCATCAGCCCTAAACCTTAAGCACTTAAATCCCTGCAACCCTATAAGCCGTGAACCATAAAACCTCAGCTCCCAATCCCCCCGCAAGAAATCCTAAGTGGGCCAGGCCCCTCCACCGTAGTTACGTGGTCCTGTAGCATGGGCCCTTTATACCCCTTATATACCCTGTACAACTCAACGGCCTATGCTTCGGAACCCTTTAAAGGAGGGAAGGGACCAAATTAAGGGGTCATGCAACTACCCTTAGAACCTCCATTCTCGAAGCCTTTCTCGGAAGGCCTTTTTTTCTTAGTAAGCAGGGTGAGTAAGTTGGGTTGCGGATTATTTAAGTGTTTCTAGGGGATAAAACGGGCACCCTGTTTGATAGTTAAGGGTTTGGGAAGCAGAGGGTCCAGCCTTTGCGCTTTTAGGGGCTGGTTTAGGGGCCTGGGGGGGTGCCGCAAAGATGGTCACTTGGAGGTTCACAGGAAGTTATAAGTAGGGATGGAAGTAGGGTAACTGTACTTCTGACCCTATTTAGGGCAATTTCCAAATAGAAGTACACCCACCGTTTATACCCCAAATAGAATAGAATCCCTTAAAAGGACCCCCCCCCAAAAGGGTACCCCTCTTTTTCGGAAACCCCCACTTGGGGAACCTATAAGCCCTACTTCGAACTACCCTAAACCCTAAACCCTAAACCCTAAACCCTAAACCCTAAACCCTAAACCCTAAACCTTCCAAGCATAGCTCAGGACATCGCCGCGCGCTATGAGGTTCCGAGGGCGCACCCTGGCCAGTGAGGCGAGGAACCGACCCGGAGTTGAGCGTTTCAGGGTTTAGGGTTAGGGTTTAGGGTTTAGGGTTTAGGGTTTAGGGTTTAGGGTTTAGGGTTTAGGGTTTAGGGTTTAGGGTTTAGGGTTTAGGGTTTAGGGTCTGGGTTTAGGGTTTAGGGTTTAGGGTTCAGGGTTTAGGGTTGAGGGTTTAGGGTTTAGGGTTTGGTGTTCTTGGGTTTTAGGGTTTAGGGTTTAGGGTTTCGGGATTAGGGGCGTTGAGGTGCCCAGAGAGCCCCAAGACCCCTTAGACTGAGGCTAGGACGCAGAGTCGGCCCTGATTCTTTTTTTTAAGGGTTTAGGGTTTAGGGTTCAGGGTTCAGGGTTCAGGGTTCAGGGTTTAGGGTTTAGGTTTAGGGTTCCCTTAGAAGCCCCTTTACGCAAAAAAGGGCACCCTCTTTATTTTCTAGGATACTCCTGGGTCTAGAAGAAATAGATCTTAGAGGACTCCTCTTGAACGAAGGGATCTTGGGTTCTTTGGGGTTGTTTTGGGGTTGAGGTAGGGCTGTCATAGCAAGGACCCTTCTGTTTGGATACCCTCGGGCTGAGCTAGCGGTCCTTTAGGCCTTCACCCTAAACCCTAAACCCTAAACCCTAAACCCTAAACCCTAAACCCTAAACCCTAAACCCTAAACCCTATTCTCTTGTGTATCGGTCGTATGGGATCCCGGAGTATTTAGCCCTGGATCATTGCTGCGAGGTGTGCGTCCAGCACTTCCTTCTCAGCAATCCCACGGTTTAGGGTTTAGGGTTTAGGGTTCAGGGTTTAGGGTTTAGGGTTTGGGGTTACGTTTGTTTCCTTCAAGTGCAGGCAGCCCTAAACCCGAAAAGACCGTAGAGCGCCAAAACCCTAAACCCCCGAAGCAACCATTGCCCAAGTCAGAATCCTTCATCCTAAGTTCCACGAGCCCAGATAGCAGCATGCCTCGTGCCGAGGTTCTAGGTAGGCACTTGGGACATGTGTTGATCCGCTGCTTGGGTCTTAAGAGACCCTAAACCCTAAACCCTAAACCCTAAGCCCTAAATCCTAAACCTTCATCCCTGAATTAGGGACCCTGAACCCTAAACCCTAAACCCATTCATAAACCTTCGGGCTGGGAGGTTCAGGGTTTTTGAGTTCAGGGTTTAGGGTTTAGGGTTTAGGGTTTAGGGTTTAGGGTTTAGGGTTGAGGCTTTAGGGTTTTGGGATGAGGGTTTAGGACTCAGCTCTTCAACAACAGGGCTCTGGGCATTGGGTTTGAGCGGAGGCAATGAAGTCGCAATCGTCCTGGCCGGCTGCTTGTTGAGCGCTCATGTCTAGCAAGCAGGAGTGTACATGGGTCAGTTCTCAAAAATGGGGGGACCACAATAAAGCCCCACACCCTAAAAGCCCTGCACCCTGAAAGCCCCTACGCCCTGCGAGATTGTTCAAAGGCTGCAGCGCATCGCTGGATGATGGCATCAAGCTTATCTCTATCCTGAGGGTTTATGTGACTTGCTAGGACCCAGGGTAGGCCCTTATCCCCTTTTTTAGGATTTAGGTTCCCTTCGAAGCCCCCTTGAAACCAAAAAGCGCACCCTTTTTATGCCGAGGTTACTCTTGGGTCTCGCTTAGATAGTAGATACTTGGGCCCGAAAAGTCAGGCCCAAGCGCAGTCTATTTGTGACCCTAACGAGTGGCCGGGATATTTCGGGCTTAGGGCCCTCGACCCTTCCGATGCTCAGGGTTTAGGGTTTAGGGTTTGAGGTTTAGGGTTTAGGGTTTAGGGGACATAGTATAGGGGTTCGGGTTTCAGGACATCTGTGCTTGGGTTGACTTATTTGGAAAAATGGGTCCTAGGGGTTGTACCTTGGACCCTTAAGGTTGTGCTCTTGTGTTTCGGGGCCCGTTTTTTCAAGATCCTCAAGGTAGTACAGGGCCATATTGGTAGTATATTAGGGGGAAGCTCTTAGGGGTACAACCTTGGGGGTACGAGCCTTTCCTTGATGGGCTCCTAAACCCTAAACCCCAAAGCCTAAACCCCAAACCCCAAACCCCAAACCCTAAACCCTAAACCCTAAACCCTGCACCCCAAACCCCAAACCCCAAACCCTAAACCCTAAACCCTAAACCCTGCACTCTTAAACCTTGAACCCTAAGCCCTAAACACGTTTATTGGGCCCTGAATCCAAACCCAGGACGGCGAGTTTGTTACAGCAGAGACACCACATCGAAGACTCACATGGGTAGTTATAAGTAGGGTTAGAAAAGTACCCGAAGTAGGGTTCAAAGTATAGGTGCCATACTTATACCCTCTACTTCTAAATTTCCAAGAACCTCCAAGTGCTCATAGTTAGGTTAAGCCCTGGATATTGTCGCATTGTCTGAATGGCCTTTTTGACATTCAGCCTGGTTCACCAGCCTCATCCAACGCTGACCGTAGAAGGATGGCGAGAAAGGATGCGCCAACAAAACGTCCGTTGCCCTTAATTCAGGTTAGCTCCAAGGCATACGCGCAGAAGCAAGCGTGTGCCGTCTGGAGAGGCACGTGGACTACTCCCAAGACCACCTGTGAGGTATGCAAGGTGTTGTTCAGCATGTGGTATTGATAGTCGGACCTCCCATAACCACGTTGAAAAGAAAAGGCATCTCTTCTTCATTCCTAGGTTACTGTGAGACTTTGAGACTTAGCTAGTCAACTGGAGTCAAGGCGATCCCACTGACCGGGTTCTCCACGTTGTCTGCTCAGTTCTGGCAGAGTTAGGAAATCGGACGCAGTTTGGAATGAGAAAGCGGACTGTGCGATTCCACCACCCCAAAACCCTAAAAGGACGTCTACTGCTTCGATACTCAGAGCCCCCCCCCCCCCCCCGCCCCAACACCACATCACAGAACTTATCTGCGCGATGTTGAGCAGTTGAGCCTACATGTAAGCGTAAATACTAGACCCTAACCCTAAACCCTAAACGCATAAACCCTAAACCCTTCCCGAGAGCCCAATATGCCTGAATTCAAGAAATGCCTTACATTAGAATCAGGATACCTATCATGGTTCAAGGTGCATTACTTAACCCCAGAAGCCTTCTACACCTATGCAATCCTAGATCCTGGATCCTCTACTCGTCTGTCGGAGGTTCATGGGTAGCGTTAAGTGGGGTCATAAGTATAGTGCTTCTAACTACTCATGAACCTCCAAGTAATCACCCTAAACCCTAAACCGTAAAGCCTAAAGCCTAAACCCTAAACCCTAAACCCTAAACCCTAAACCCTAAACCCTAAACCCTAAACCCTAAACCCTAAACCCTAAACCCTAAACCCTAAACCCTACAGCAAGCCCTAAACCCTGCATGTCCCTGAAATAGAGGCGCTCCATGGGATCCCTGAGCTTGTGTTCTGAAGGGCGCGGGGAAATTTTTTTGGGGAGTGAAGGCTCCCAGGGCCGGAGGCCCTGACCCGGAAGCACCCTAAACCCTAAGCCCTAAGCCCTAAACCCTAAACCCGAAACCCTAAACCCTAAACCCTAAACCCTAAACCCTAAACCCTAAACCCTAACTCGGAAGCCCATTGAACTTGAGAAGTTTTTAGGTCATGGGTCTTAGGGAAGTCTTTGGGGTCAGGGTTTAGGGTTTAGGGTTTAGGGTTTGAGGTTTAGGGTTTAGGGTTTAGGGTCCATGGCTTCAGGGCCCCAGGAATTGGGGCTTCTTCAGCGTTAAGAGCCAGCCGGCCAAGGTGGGAGGTTGCATCAGTGAGGCCCGGGCGTTGGGGTTTAGGGTTTAGGGTCTAGGGTCCAGGGTCTAGGGTTTAGGGTTTAGGGTTTAGGGCTTAGGGCTTAGGGCTTTGGGCTTAGGGGTATCGGGTTTAGGGTTTAGGGTTTAGGTATCGGGTATAGGGTTGCGGGCGTAAGGCGTATGAGGGCTGTTCTCGGATGCACTGTAGTAGCTTTGTTCCCTTCTGTTACGGGTGAGGTTCCCTTTTAGACCCCATGGTTCCAAAAAGTGCACCCGGCTGGTGTTTTAGCGAGGTTTCCAGGCAACTCAGACAAAATGTGTTTCATTTTTTGTTTTGCCTTTGTTTTGGTTGCGTGTAGCTCTGTGGGGGCTCGGGCTTAGTGTACATGTGGTAGGGTGGGATCTGCGTCGTGGTGGGGGGGGGTTAAAAAGAGGCTACTCTCGATCGTAACGGCCCCGCCCCAGTACGTGCAAGAAGTTTCACTGTCGGCCCAAATTGTTGCCTTGTTACTGGGGGCTTTCTCCCAGACAAGTGCAGCTTGGCGTAATCTCCCATGCAATGCCTGGGCCCCTAGACTCGGTAGGCCCTTTGTGTTTTCCCTTATTGGGTTTAGGGTTTGGGGTTTAGGGTTTAGGGTTTAGGGTTTAGGGGGATCATATTCAGGAATATGTTTCAGAGGGTTTAGGGTTTAGGGCCATCCATTGATTCTCTGGCCTCCCGATGGCTTTGCATCCACGAAGGCAGATCCCAACCACACCGTCACAGCCCTTTAACGGCGGACACTTCCCCCCCTGGCCCCTGAACCCTCACCCTAAACCCTAAACCCTAAACCCTAAACCCTAAACCCTAAACCCTAAACCCTAAACCCTGAACCCTGAACCCTGAACCCTGAACCCTGAACCCTAAACCCTAAACCCTAAAACCTAAACCTTGACCCCTAAACCCTAAACCCAAAACCCCAAACCCTAAACCCCAAACCACACTGTGAATGCAGCTGCAGGAGAGCCGGGCGTCGCAGATCCCGCGCGCGACTTGTCTGAGCAAGTCAAGCCCTGGCCACCTCGTGGGAGTGAAGGAGGATTTAAGGTTTGGGGTTTAGGGTTTAGGGTTTAGGGTTTGGGGTTTAGGGTTAAGGTTGGGGTTTAGGGTTAAGGTTTGGGGTTTGGCGTTTGAGGTTTGGGGTTTAGGGTTTAGGGCGAGGGTTTGGGGTGTGTACTTGGAGGTAGCAGGGTGGTGGGGTTACAGGCCATGTGGAGGTTGCTCCGAGATGTGGGCTTTTTAG